TGGTTCTGCCGTCAGCTTTCGGCACGGCCCTGCATGGCGACCGACACCGCGATTCCGGCACAGAGCAGTGCCGAGCATGTCCTGGGGCGACCGACACCGCGATTCCGGCACAGAGCAGTGCCGAGCATGTCCTGGGGCGACCGACGCCGCGGTACCGGCACAGAGCAGTGCCGAGCATGTCCTGGGGCGACCGACACCGCGGTACCGGCACAGAGCAGTGCCGAGCATGTCCTGGGGCTCCGGCCGTGTGCCGTGTGCTGTGCCATCCTGGTGCTCTGGCTGCATGCTGTGCCTGTCCCGGTGCCCCATCCGATGCCAAGCACCACGGGAGTGGGTTTCTCTGAGCCAGACCTTGGTGGCAGTGGCAGAAGAGAAGCGTGGCATCACTGGGAGTGATCCCAATGCACTGGGCTCTGGCGGGCTGGAGTTGGACTATGGCTCCCAGCACCACAGCAGGATGTGCCACTGGCTCCCTGGGGCGGCTGGCAGGGGGGATGGTACTGTGGCCACCAACCCCGGGCTCTCATGCCGGGGCTGATCCTGGCCTTGACGGGCTGTGGGTCCTTGGTGACTCCCAGCTGTGGGGTGGGAGGAACCCCGGTCCATTGCTGAGCAGCATGGGGAGGTTTAAGGGCTCCCCAGCTCTCCCAGCAGCAGAAGCTGGGCTCAGCTGGTGGGGCCAGCATGTGGGGGGGGTGTCCAGGCAGGACCTGCCCAGGAGACCCTGGCTGGGACCCGCAGGTTTTGAGGGTGCTCACCCAGCTCGGCAGTGCCTGGTTCTGCTGAGGGGGACACTGGAGCGTGCTGGGGAGCTGCATGGTGAGGGACTGTGTGGAGCTGCCAGGACTGTGGTGCTGTGGCACTGAGGCTGGTGCCGGTCCTGCCCGGGCAGTGGCTGCTGTGCCCCCACGCCGGGTACTCGGCTGCCCCCAGGATGGCCACGGCGGCCCCGGCACTGCTGGGTGTGGGGTGGGAACAGTCTGTGCCAGCAGGTTCGCGGGAAGGAGCGTGGAGAGTGTCCCCACCCCTGCAGGGGCAAAGGGCGAGGGCGGGTGCCATCGGCATGTGCGGCGCTGGGAGGGGCCGGGCGGGGGCC